ACTTTTCTGATGCTTCTCCCACTGCAGCTTCCTGATCGGCTGCCCTACACACGCTCCTTACTAGTCTAGTCACCTGCTTTGCTATTCCTTGGAAGAACAGGCATTTGTTGGGTGTACAGTGAGTGTGGGAGTGTATTCAACTGTGCTCGTTAATTTGTGCACACTCACTCTTGCACAGCCATGCCACTTACTACTCATCTGTCTCACTCATGTGGCAGCCCAGACCCACTCACCCCGCATCGCCCTCGTCCCATCTAACTAGTCCCTTTACTGGCACCACTGACCTCTGGCTGAACAAGGGCTGCTTCCCACACTTTTGTCCTGTTCTAGTTCCCTTGTTACCTCCTCAGCCTGAGGCTGTATTCTAGGGCAGCAAGTACTTCCTTGTCCAACTTCTCAAAGGAAAGCACTCCTCTCGTCCTTGGAATCCCTCTGAAGGTCACAGCTCTCCGCATTATCTGAGAGGAGGGTCCTTCTCTCCTCCTAAGGCAGTGATGGTGAACCTACGACACGTGTGTCAGAGGTGACACTCGAACTCATTTTTTTGGTTGATTTTTCTTTGTAAAAATGGCATTTAAATATATAAAATAAATATCAAAAATATAAGTCTTTGTTTTACTATGTTTGCAAATATCAAAAAATTTCTATATGTGACACGGCACCAGAGTTAAGTTAGGGTTTTTCAAAATGCTGACAGGCCGAGCTCAAAAGGTTCGCCATCACTGTCCTAAGGTCATGACTGTACTTGATGCCTGCCTCCTCTCTTTCCATCCTTCATGCCATCTCATCTTTTAATGCAGCGGTTCTCAACCTGTGGGTCACGACCCCTTTGGCGGTCGAACGACCCTTTCACAGGGGTCGCCCAAGACCATCTGGCATATCAGATATTTACATTACGATTCATAACAGTAGCAACATTACAGTTATGAAGCAGCAACGAAAATAATTTCATGGTTGGGTCACAACATGAGGAACTGTATTTAAAGGGCCAGAAGGTTGAGAACCACTGTTTTATGTCTTCCTCTTCACCTCTTCACTGGATCTTTCCTATTCCTGGGAATATGGTTCTCTTATTAAGATTTCCCTTGTGCCCTCTGACCCTCTGTACTGCCATATTCTCATTCTCTTCTTAAGAGGGAGAGCTACAGAGGCTTCCCCAACTGCCCACCGCCTGGTGGTCCCCTCTGTCCTCCCTGCAGTCTGTCCCTTTGGCTGTCTGCCAGCAGGGAAGGTCCTAGACTGCCTGGGCTGGAGATCTCTCCTTCACCTTCTTCTCCTGCCTCACTCTCTCTTCTCAGCAACAACATCAGCACGCACATTTCTGTCTCCAAAAAAATCAACTGCATAGTCCAGAGTCTGAACCTGTCCAAACCGAACACACTTTTTAACAGCGGACCTCTTAATTTTTACTTGTTTAAATGACGGTTAATCTAGTAAGAATGTAAATTAGTGTTTAGAAGTTTGAAATGCTTCTAAAATAATCCTCTCTTACAGCACTTTGGTGACCCATATCTTCATTTTGTCATTGCAAGATTAAAGTTATGCAAGCAGAACAGCAATTACTTACCAAAAGTAAAATCTTATGCAAATGTTTTAAGCCAAATACAAATGAGCAGTTCTTCATATGACTAATAACAATATGCCCTATGATAACTGTAAATATGAGAAACAAGAGATCAAGGGCCTCTAAAATAAGCACTGGGATGGTAGAAGGGCTGTGTAGGCGGTCAGCGGTAACTATGAAACCACAAGACCATTGTCATAGATGTGATACGTGTACACAACGGAACCTTACTTAGCCATAAGAAAAGATCAAATACTGTCATTTGCGACAATGTGGATGCAAAAAAGCTTAGAACCATAAGATTTCACTCATATGTGGGATATAAAACTGAAACTCATAGGCACAGACAACAGTATGGTGGTTACCAGAGGGAAGGGGGCGAGGGGATAGTAAAGGGAAAAGGGAGCCAAATATATGGTGACGAAGATGATTTGCCTTTGGGTGGTGGGAACACAATGAAATATGAAGATGATGTATCTTAGAATTGTATTCTTGAAACCTATATAATCTTATTAACCAACTAGAGGCCCAGTGCATGAAATTCATGGGGGGTCCCCTCAGCCCAGCCTGCACCCTCTCCAATCTGGGACCCCTCGGACATCCCTCTCACAATCCGGGACTGCTGGCTCTTAACTGCTCACCTGCCTGCCTGCCTGATCACCCCTAACTGCCCCTCCCTGCAAGCCTGATCACCCCTAACTTCCTCTGACTGCCAGCCTGGTCACTCCCAACTGTCCCCCAACCCCCGCCAGCCTGTTTGCCCCTCATTGCCCCCCCTGCTACCCTGGTCACCCCTAACTGCCCCCCCTGCTGGCCTGGTCACCCCTAACTGCACCCCCTCTGCCAGCCTGGTCGCCCATTACTGCCTCCCCTGCCATCCTGGTTGCCCCTACCTGCCCCCCCACACACACTGGCCTGGTCACCCCTTATTGCCCCACCTGCTCTCCTGGTTGCCCCCGACTGCCCTCCTCTGCTGGCCTGGTCACCCCTAACTGACCCCCCTGCCGGCCTGGTGGCCCCTCACTGCCCCCCCTGCTGGCCTGGTCACCCCCAACTGTCCCCTCGCTGCCCTGGTCACCTCCAATTGTTCCCCCCCCCTCTGCCAGTCTGGTCGCCCCACACAGCCTTCTGTTCAGTCATTTGGTTGTCCCTCACTAACTCCCCTGCTGGCCTTGTCACCCCATGTAGCCTGCTATTTGGTCGTCTGTTTAGTTGTTTTGGTTGTGACGGCCCCTGGCTTTTTATATATTAGGAAGAATGTCACCCCAATAAATTTAATTAGAAAATAAAATAAAAGAATCGTATATGCTTCTAACAATCTTTAAACCCAGAGCAACACAAATCATTACACACTGGCGATTCTCTGCCTTTCCCACCAAGAAAAAAATCCTTCATAGACAATACTTCAGTTTTTTAAATACAAGCAAATATATCCCTTACTGAAATCAAATAGAAGGACAACATAAAGCTGCATTATGTTAGAAATTATTAAACTTCATACACCAATGAAGTTGCAAAGAATTGATAAACTGTTAAATAAAGTTATTTTTTCTGATAAATGTAGTTTCAAATTCTAATAGTCCACACTTCTCATAGCAATACATGCATTTAATAGAACTGAATACTTAGTCAAAGTCAAATCACAGTCAGTTAATATTGGAACAGAATGTGAGAACAGATGTCATGGGTAAAATCCGGAGGGTAACTCAATATGCAAACCTGGTGCCATAGGAGGTTACTATCCTATCTGGAAGGTGGAATACGTAAGCAGACCACACAATAACTGAAGAAGCTCTATCGGCTGAACAAAACGCTGTATTCATGTTTGAGGGGCTGAATAGAATGGTTAGGTAACATAATCCCGGAAACACGAAGGTCTCCTGGAAGACTGTTGAGACAAAAAGAAGCAAAGCACCGACTGGCAGAGAGGAGGGAGAAGTCCTACCAGAAGGACGGAAAATCCAACTATATAGAAACACACAGGGAATGGAGAAGGGGTGGCAGCCCACAGGCCAGGCTGATGGGCACCATCACTTCCTTTCTTCCTCTCTGCTTCCAACAGCCTCCCAATCAGCTCTGCCCACGAATATGCTCTGCACACAACTGATGATCATCATCTTACAGCTCACTCTCTCTCCCATGCTGCTAGAAAAACAGACAGACAAAAACCAAAGGTTCCCACAGCCTCACAAACCGAGCTCAGACTCCGAGGAAACACAGTAAGTTCTCACCACATTCAATTGTGTGTGACTACTTTCATCCTGTCCAACTGGAAGGTTCTCGGAGGCAGAAACGAATCTTGTTTATTTTTTGATAAGCAAGTGCTCTTACAAGTACCTTGTGCATAGAAGTTCAAAACATATTTATCAAATGAGCAGATGATGTAACTCATGAATTTTCTATAATATTGTCAAGATGGGTGGGTAGATGACCTTGTGTGGAAGTCAGAAGTTTAGATTTGATACAACAGACTCTCCGGCAAGCTTCTAGAAGTTCTGTATAGGGGAGTGGAATGATAAAAATACTGTTTGAAGTAACTTGAGTTGTGGCTGTAGGGAATATTACCCCAGAAGTAGAAAGATCATTTTGCTAATAATGTTTTGCTACAAAAAGAGTAAAACGAAATGAGATTTTTGTCTGTTCATTAGTCACTAATGTGTATATTCCTTCAATAAACACCACAAAAGAAAAATGTCTCTTTAATGTATTTTAAATGAGTTCATTCTGATATGAGAGACTTTTTTTTTCAGGCTAGGTAATAGTTATATTTCTTGATTTTAAAGAATAGCAACCCAAAAACCTTAGCAATTAAGGACAGATATTCTTATTTATGAATTATAAATATTCTCCATATTAGAATCTTCCAAACTGACACTCAAACAAAATTTGAAAATTGAAAGAACTCCATTTTGTCTGTTCTTATTACAGTGCAGAACACTTGATTTTGGGGTTTTATCACAGCTAAAGTTAGACGGTGGTTTATGTGAGTAGAATTTTATAATCTAGCCTAACACTTGGATGTTAAATTAATGAATTCATCAGCATTTGAAAATGTCAGTGCATTAAGAAGTGCTGAGAGGTTGTAACTGGTGCCGATTCTCCTTTCTAAGAACTGTTCTTCCTCTGCTCGAGCCTCACCCTCCCTACCATGTGCTAGAGACAGCGGGGATGACAGGAGGGGCTGGCAGCACAGGGTACTCAGGCAAAGAGAGAAATGCAGAGGTCCTCAATTTTGGCTGTTCATTAGAAAAATCTGGGAGCTTTGAACAGCTATGACACCGTAAGCCACACTCCAGGCCAATGTCAATACATTTTAAAAGGCCCTCCCCCTGCCCCAGCGGAGACTTTGTTATCCAGGCTTGAGAACCAGTGAATCAAAGGCAAAATATATGATGCTACTGATTTTATTTTAAAGAGAAGACAAGCTTTCACTTACCTGCCTTCTGACAGTGCACAATCTTTTCATACACAGCATCTGCATTTTCAAGCAATGCCTTGAGGGACTGCATCATCTGCAAAGGGAACATCCAGACAAGAATTACACCTGACAGCGACACACCAGGCTGCACACGTGCAAGAGGCGCCTCCCCTAACATCAGGCCCAGGCTCTTTTCTCTGACTTCCCACTACTCAAGTTCAAATGTGTATGTGAAAAATGATAAAATCACACATCACTGTGAAATGGCTTAAGCAACCATTTCAGGTAAGTTTCAGGTATACTAGTAGTGAGGCTTGTACAATACTGAATTTGAAACTGGAGCCAGTAATGAACTAAGGTCGTTTCAGTGTAAAAAACTACAAATAAATATGTGCATACAGTGTTTTAAATCATATTTTCAGTCATTCATTTCAACAAAATCTTCCACTCCATCTTATAGGCAGTTTCAACACCTACACAACTTACCCTTTGCAGCCCAAATGCCTTCATCTGAAGATCAGTGTAAAACTTATGAGGATCAAAAAACAGCTTCTATTTGATGCATCACTAATGATGATATCTTTAATGTTCCTATCAATGATTTTAAATATCCAATCTTGAGTTCTTGTTCCAAATTGCATAAGCTTGCTTTAGTTTTAAGAGCCAAGCTTGAATAAAAAAGGGTTGGGGCACAGCTGATCTATCATTTTGCTCACCAAAGTATTGGGGAAAGTAATGGTTTTGGCTCTAACATTACTATGGAAACGGGATAGCCAGATTTAGCTCTCTGGCTCAAGCAGGTATAATTATTGATGCTTACCTTAAGGGTAGATTTTAACTTTTTGTACTTAAATGTCCAAATATTTTGCATTATAATATCACTCATCTATATTTCATGGCATTTCTAAGTAGCAAGTACCAATCCATCATTCTTCATTCCTTTAAATTCTGTGTTGTTTTTCTTTATAGTATTTATCACTGGCTGCCACAGTAATTGTTTCATAGAAATGAAATATAGGTTGGATTATTTGTATAACTCAAAGAACACTATATTTTGATTAATTGCACTTATTTAAACTAAAGCATAATCAATATGCCTCTCAAGAAGTGCACCAGATTCTTCAAGTCAGTCACACAGCATTTATCAACTTCCACTGTTCTAAGAGAATTATAGTGAGCACCCAAAGGTTTCATACCAGCGGCCCCTGAGGAGGAACTAGGGACACAGTGACCTACAGGACATAGACCATCTTCAAGGAGTTCACAGCCCAGTGGTGGGGCTTGCACTCTGGAATTCAGTGCTTTCACATTCACTCTTCAAGATCTGAGTCATTTCTGTAAATTAAAATAGTCTATTTTACAGCTTGACATACTGAACAGGCAGTGATGAAAATGAATAGTCAAGAACTCAATTATACTGGTATCAAGTCATTTGTACTATTACATAATTCGCATACTGAAAAGGTTCATCTCGTCACTGGTAACCTTTTCCAGCTTTGATGTCAAGCCAAATGAGAGATATAAAGAAGCAAGAACTTATTCAAGCAAGGATGGTGGCTGTCACAGCTTAGTATCAAAGAACTGGCAACTGTGCCTCCTTTATTCGAGTAGAAAAAAATTAAAAAATAAATACAAGCGATGAAATGAACCTGGTCATGACACAAATGGGCAGGACAGGAGTGGTAACAGAAGGATGGAAGAAAACCAAGCAGCAGCACTAAGCACAGGCTCAGGCACACAACCTGTGGGGGAGGGTGTTTAAAACACATTTACACCGGGGGTGCAGCAGGGGCAGAAAAGAGTACAGATTTACACGCGTTCAAATCCTGGTTCTGCTATTCATGAGCTGTGTCATCTAGGACAAGATATTAAACATCACGGAGCCATAATTTCCTACCTGTAAAGTTGCGAGAATTAAATGAAATGATGCAAGGGACTGGCACAAAGAAGACACCATGACTGGTTAATGTCACAGCTGACTCATTTATCCAGGGGTCCGGTGGAGCATTTTCTGATAGCCTGATTTGAGCTGGATGAGTATGACTTCCTTTCATATGTTCACTGGCAATGCTTCAAACACTCATCACACATTTTAGTTTTACTTAAAAAGCCTGGTTGATGAAGTTCTGAAAATCAACGAAGTGCATTCTTCTTCTTTTTATAATCCTCACCTGAGAGTATTTTTTAATTGATTTTAGAGAGAGAGGAAGAGGGAAGGCAGGGAGAGAGGGAGAGAGAAGGCGGGGGGGGGGGGGGGGGAGGGGGGCATTGACTGGCTGCCTACTGCACTCATTCCAACTGCGGATTGCACCCGAAACTTAGGTATGTGCCCTGATTACATATCAAACCACAACCTTTCGGTTCTTGAGACAATGCTTCAACCAACTGAGCCACCTGGCCAGGGCTGCACTATTATTCTTGAAAGCATCTTCCAGTTTAAATTACTACCAAAGGCTACAAATTATGCACCTTTCAGCTGTAAAATACAGGCAAGGCTTAAGAAATGCACATCTATGTCAAGGGGCCGGACAGGGAAGTTCACGGCCTCCTGTGCTCTGTAATACTTGGAGGATCAGGCCTTTGTTCTTGGGACAATCACCTTCTGAGGCCGTGTAAGCGGGACCCTGAGCTAAGGGCCGAGAATAAATAAAGAGCTGCTGGCCCAGGACTATGAGCAAACAATAATCACTATAGCATGTGGCACTGTCACTGCAGCCCACGTGCTGTTGTGTGTGACAGCCATGGCAGGGTGGTGGGATATTTAATGGTGGTGTCCTGGCGTCCATGGTGATGTTCCCTTTGTGGCTTGGACTGCAATACAAAAGTTCTTCTCCCAATAACGGGAGTGAAATGCATTTCCTCCTGCCCCGTTCTTACTTATGAGTGATATATAAAATATGAAGGTGTCTAATACACCAGGTGGAGTATGCAAGCATAGTGAAAATCCAGTCCTCTCAGATTTGTGAGTAAACAGCAGCAGGTATTGGCAGAGTATGTGTGTGTGTGTGGGGGGGGGGGGGGGAGGTGGGGGAGAAGGGAAGGGTCTGGGGCAGAGTTCCAGAGGGAACCAGCTTAGGAGAAAGTAGGCTAGCAAAACTTAGACCAGGCAGGAAGAAACATCCAGACCTTAGCAAAAATGATTCCGTTTGCCACACCTGTTATTAAATGTTTTCACCACTTCCTTTTGGCGGAGGTACTGCCATTTTTTTTCTTTTTATAACTTTAGGGTATATATTTATAGTTAGGGTGCACGCTTATAATTAAATGAACATATGGCAGTTTGTAGTTCTCGTCCATTGCATGAGTTCATGAATCCTCAACTCTTGCAGTATTTGCATAAGTTCTTCCCGAGTGAAAGAGCCCCTCTAGGTATCCTCACGGGAGCTCTCTGGACTGCGGGCTCCTTCCTGCAAATGTGCCAGGTAGGTGAAGGGTCCAGCATGCTGAGAGGGCAGGGCCGGGCAGTGGGCTCTCCTGCCTGCCAACCAGCTATGTCTTGCTTCATTCAGCTGACAATATGATTGAATGTAGAGCAGCACACAGTACTGGGGACAGCAGGGACATGATGGGGTGCCGTTCGATCTCGTGGGGACCAATCTCTGACTGGGTCTGCTTCTTTATAACAAGTTGTGATTACAAATAGTACAAGTGTTGGCTGAGTGAGTCAAAACGAAAGTAATTCAATGCCTCCTCTGCATCAGGTACATACTTGGTGCATCTATTTCACTGAATGCTCACCAAATCCCTGGGAGGTGGGTATGTAGGGTGTTAGTTTGACAGACGTGAACACCGAAGACCTGAGACTTAAGCAATTTTCCCAAGGTCATCTGGCATTAAGGACAAAGGAACTGGAACTAATCGACAATGGAACTGGTATTCCACTTGACCTCAAAGCCTCTGCTCTTTCCACAGCACCATGATAGATCTCAACGTGAGAGGCAACTGCACAAGAGGAGGAAAAGCACTGCAACCAGAAAGATGTGGGAAAGAAAACATAGTAACTTCTGATAGGTACTGTGGACCCTGAGAAAGACGATACCTACTGAGAAGGGCTCCTGGTAACTAACTGGTCAAATGTTGAAGTCAGAGCCTCGCAGCCATTTCTGCACAGGGGCCTCTCACACACACTGCACTGCAGAGAGAAGCCTGCACCAGGCTGCCTGCCTTCCTGCACTGTGTTTCTGCCACCTGAGCCAGCCCTTAAAGGAGTTCCTGGAATCCTATTTCAACCAAGAGGACTAAGACTTTCCCTAGCCAATCTATATATATAAAAGCCTAAGCAACCATAGAAACCGAACAGGTTGTGTGGGGCAACCAGGCCAGCAGGGGGGTTAGTTAGGGTTGACCAAATGACTGAGCAGCAGGCTGCGTGGGGCAACCAGGCTGGCAGGGGAAGGGCAGTTAGAGGTGACCAGGCCGGCAGGGGGGGCAGTAAGGGGAGACCAAACTGGTGGTGGGGGGGGCAGTTAGGGGCAACTAGGCTGGCAGGAGGGGCAGTTGGGGGTGACCAGGCCAGCAGGGGGTGGGGCAGTTAGGGGCGATCAGGCAGGCAGGCAGGTGAGCAGTTAGGAACCAGTGGTCCTGGATTGTGAGAGGAATGTCCAACTGCCAGTTTAGGTCCCAGATTAGAGAGGGTGTAGGCTGGGCTGAGGTGATCCCCCCTTGCACGAATTTCGTGCACTGGGCCTCTAGTTGTATATAATTAACATCTTCCCCAACCAATCAGAGCACCTCTATTCTGACCAATCAGGAGGTGTCCTTAGGACCAATCAAACTGGGAGAATTTGGAGTCTTCATTTGAATGAGGGATCGGGGTGGGGACTTCTGTCTATAAGTTAATTCCCCTGGGCTCAAAGAGCTCACTTTCACTTTCCACCAAAGACTGAAGACTGTTTTTCCCCTGCTGGAGCTGAAACAGTGAATTTGAAACACTGAAGTGCTGGGAGCAGGTCCATCCTTGCTGTTTCAAGGGACCTGGCATATATGGCATACTGTTCTTAATATGTTTGCTCACCTTCTTGGCACTATGTGTTTTAACCAAGGTCACCTCTCTGAGAAAGGTTGTTTCCCCGGCTAGGGATTTTCCCCTGAAGT